GTATCGCTGAGAAAAACGATGATGGGGAAGACCCAGGCCAGGATGGCGCAGCAGCTCCCGGCCAAGAGCCAGGACCAGGGAGACGGGTGCCTTGAGTTAGAGACACAAAAAACAAGAACTCCAGTATTGTCTACTTCAAGTAATCGAAAAGGCAGGGTGTAGACTCTTCTAACCGAGTTACTGACTGAAATAAGGGGCGTAGCTTAACATCAAGGCTACTCTTCCTTCTCATCAGTATCTCGGTTATTCTCGTCTGTTACTTGCTTATTTCAGTTTATCGAATAGCTGAAAAATTCTGTATGCCATCAAGTTGAAGATTCCATCTTCATAATGACAAACCGTCACCACCGCCGCGCCCCGGACCTCCCGTGGGCCCGCTCAAGTTCACTATCTGTTCTTCTAAAGCTAAAAATTCTGCGTCTGCTTCGAAGTCGCTTGCGTGATGATGCGACAATTTCACTGGTGAATTGGAGGGCGACGTCCTCTGCTGAGCATAGTCAGGATTCCGTCTGCTCTGGTGCTGTTGGTGATGTAGTGAAGGTCCAAACGGTGACGTAGATCCTATTCCTATCCTAGGTATAGAAGACGACGATGATGAGGAAGGTATTGTTTTTCCACCTGGAGTAGAAGATGGGCAGCCTGGGAGATCAGCTGTCCTGGAGTCTGTTAGAGTACCACTAGAAGTTGAACGTTGATGATTTCCACTTCTTCGGTCTCCTGGTATAGTTGCTCCCGAATTACAACTTGTTGGTCTTCTAACAGTCCCATAATGCTGGTCTGGCGCAGTCTCAAGAGAAGAGAAAGTAGGAGAACCTGTCGGAGAACCTATTCCTGCTGTACGTTGTTGCGTTTGTCCCACTTGTTGGTCGTAGGGCAGAACTCCCGCATTAGAAAAATCGTCATCCAGATGGAGCACGGGAGGCGCACTACTCCCTGCCATGTTTTCCCTAGGTAGCTTCGGTGGCCTCGGAGCAGCCGCAGCGCTTGCTTTTGCTGTCTCAACTTTCACCGGATGCGCTATCGTAGAGTGTGGGGTCAAAAGCATTTTCCGTCTTACAGGTTCACTCGGATTACGACTCCCTCCTGAGTCTGAAAATGTGCGCGTCGGCTGTCGCAGATTCAAAGCGGCCTCTTGCACTGTGTGAGGGTCTAAGTGTACGAGCAAATGTTGCTCCAAGCATCCTACGAAGTAGTGCGCCTTCCGTGGCCGTCCGGAAAGCAAGCCCAGGGAATATTAGAGCCACCGCGCCGCAACCCCGAGGCCATCCCTGGGCCCTTTTCCCCTTGAAAAAGAGGCCAAGAATGGTGTTGAGGATGCTCTCTTGGTTGCGGCCTTAAGAATAAGGATTCTGCAGGAATTGCGCGACCTCCTTCTGCGCCCCCACATCCATGTATTCGCCCACGCCCTTCTGGAATGGGAGCAGAAGCAAAACACTCCGTGGCCAACGAGTACCTAGCACACTTCTTGGTCGTCCGGGCGACGCATCTTCTTCCTTACTACCTTGGTCCAGGTACTTTTCGTCGACTGAAACTAAGGTCTGTTGCGTATGCTTTCCGCCCTCTGTAGAATTTCTTATCCTGCCTGTCCCTGGGGAAGAAGCCTGCTTGCCACTCAACCGCGCTATCTCGTCCAAGTAAATGCAACCATCATAATGCGTATTAGAATTGTAAATAGTAGTTCCTGGTGGAAAATGCGTCCACCTTCTAGAAGTAGAAGTAAAGGTAGTAGGGCTGGGACTCCAGTGATCCCGGGCATGAAAAGTTTGTTGCTCAACAACAAATCAAAACAAGTGTCCAAACATACAGCATTCGGTACTACAGACTAGACATCACTTCTAGTATCAAAAAACGCGCACGGCACCTTAACTATGTAGACCTGAAAGCTTCCCGCAGTCTGCTCGTAGCTCCTAGACATGGCCATACGCCCGGTGCTACTTGCAGACGTCGCACTACTTGCAGTAAACAGATCTGACGACGTTCCTCCTTCTTCTTCGTGTCCATTGTAGTTTTTTGGACTACTGTTTTTGCTCATCTTGTTCTCTGCTACAACAAGAACTGGTGTAGTTCTACTCGAGCGCTGATGAATGTTGACAGCAGGATCTTTGTTTGTTGAAGAAGACAAAGTTGAAGCTCCTGTATTTCTGGTACTCGTTTCTTCTCTAACAACACTACTTTGAGCTCTGCCATGGTTCACTAGCCGTTCAAGCACAGTCGCAACACTCGTCGGCCCCAGCCATTCGCCAGGCTGCCGCCCAGAAACCAAAAACGACTGAAGCCCATAGCGCGCGCTCGGCCGATCTAGGAAATAGCGCAGGATTTTCAGCGCGTCGACGCGTTGCTCTAGTAACAACTCCCGTTGTGTGACAGGGAAGAGCTTACTCGTACTCAAGCAGTTATTAAGCAAAATTCAGAAGTGGGAAACAGCTCTTGAGTACGTTTCCTTTCTTGAGTACACATTTTCCTTTCTTGAATGCTATTCTTGAGTACTATGAGTACACCTTTTCCTTTCATACGTTGCATCAGGTTGGCTAACAACATCTGCCCCACTCGAATCATGCATCCCCACCCAGCGTCCGTCTCCACTGCTACTATACTGTCCTCCGAGTACTCGCGGACTGAATGAAAAAAAAAGGTAGAAATATATTTAGGATTTCTCCATAAGATCAATCATATCACTTTACTTTTGATCTTACGATTGAGTGAAAGTGAAAGAGACACATCACAACAACTGTATTATATCTTGTTGACGGCACTACTTGCGTCTCCTATCCTCCCAGCCACGACGCTTTTTAGTCCTGCCTACAACCTCCATTTCCATTATTATGAATGTGACAGTCTTTCTTTGTCCCATAATACAAAGGTGCAAAGTTTTTCCGGTAGGTACAACGGTAAAGGCGGTTGAAGTCCCGCTCGAAATGGCCAAAGGATCGCTTGTTTCTTAAGGCCTCTGCACTATTATCTCCCGGAGAGACAGGTATGAAGGAAGAAAAAAGATATGAAGTGACAGCATGGAACAAGCGCACACGTTGACCTCTCAGTGTTCTCGTAAATTCCTCTGTAGAGCAAGTCTTATCTGGTGTGCTGCCAAGAAGAATGTCATCTACTTCGACATACTGTAACTTCTATCGTTCACCAACAACCATTTTTAACGGGCTTTCCACCCTTTCAAGTAACAAAAACAAGAGAGAGAAATTGCTTGTGAGTTGACCTTCACAAAAATAAAATTGGATATGATATTTTCATAAACGAATACCGCTTTCCAAGTAAAAACAAAGATCCCCGACGACCAGCGCAGAGACAGGCGTGCCTTAATTCCTCGTAATCGTCAGGGGAGCTTCTCACCTCTTGCACGATCTGTTGCACCGCTTCGCTATGCACAAAAGTCGCAATTCCGCTTTGCCTTAGAACATTTTTTATGGGGCTTTTTAGTACTAATAGCCTAATGAGTTCTACTAGCAAAAAACCATAACTTTATCGACTGCACGAATTGTCCCAATGGATCTATACTGCGACTTGCCAGATGATTTGCCGAAGAAACGCTTCCAGGTGCTACAGCCGGTTTCGGATGCTGCTTTTTCTCAGTAGACGAGAACGCTACTTCATCGGTTGTCCTATTCGAGCCTCCATGCAAGAAAGCTGTCCTAGGTCCAGGTGCGTAATGCTGCTGTCGGTCTGTCCCCGTCTTGGCAACTACGGGGCCTAGAGTTCTGTCTTCAGCGACTTTGTGGTCATTCTGACCTTGTTGCAAAGACACCTTACGAGAGAACGGCGAAGACATTTTGATCGTCGTGGTCAGCACAATGGTTTCTACTACATAATCCTAAGTATCAGAGGGCTATGATGTTGCCATCTGCAAATTTTTCATTGGATCAAGATGTGGATCCTCAGTTACATGTTTTCTATCTTTGCTGAAAAAAATTAATCTGCGCACTCGCCAGGATGTTCTCACCGATCATTCAGTGTATACCTTTTACTATCAACAATCAAGAGCAGCCACCACGAAAGCCAGCGCTATTCTTGTACTTCTTTTATTATTATTATTATTAGTCCGCGCGCGGCCCGAACGCCTCGCACGTGCTACGCCCTCGGGCGCTCTTACCATCTGTCACTATGGACACCGATGTAAGGGCGCTAGGGACCTTCCTGACGGACCGATGTTGTTGTTGGGTTTAATGGGGATAAGGCGCATTCTACTGCGCTACGTTGTTCCTTTCCAAACCTTCATTCTAATTCATTTCCGCCGCACACTCTCACCCGAACACTCCCCCGCGTGCCGCCCATCCTCTGCTCTATGCCGCCGGCCGCACCTTACCTGCACGCGGCGACGAGGGCGGATGGGCAGCACTTACACTGCCCATCAACGCCCTCGGGCCGCGGTACTCGTCCTGCGCGCGTCTGTATGGCCGGGGCTCTCAACACCAGTGTGTCCGTTCCGCGTGGGCGGTGGACCCGTGCCCGCTGCGGTGACCGTACCCACTTATCTAAATGGGACCTCTCCAATTCTATCTATTTCGTGTTACTCACGCTGCCCCGCGACCCCTCCCTGCGACCGCACAACGGCGTCCCGTCGCGGTTCGTCACGGCGGTGACTGGGCGGGCGCGCTCCCCTTCTTTTCCGTCAAAAAAGGATCTCCTCACGCACCCTATATAGAGATGCCTGTAACGCGTGCCTGTCCGCGATGCAGCCTATCTCGGCTGCTGCGCTCGCTCGCGACGTGATAAACTTCTTTTTCATACGCTGTTGCTCATGTTCATTGAGGTCGTCGAAGAAGACGATCTTCGACCTCAGCGTCTTCTTCGCATACTCGGGCGCCGCGGCGCCGACCGTCCGCTTCTTCACTGCGTTCCTCGCATATTCCTCCAATGGGTCTCTAAACATATCCGTTTCTATATCTGCGCGGTGCCATGTATCTATATCTAGCAGCCGCTTCGAACGTACCAAGAATGGCCATCTCCTCCAGAACGGCCCTTTCATATATGTGCACTGCCTCCGCCGCCTCCTCTTGTATGTGGGTATGACTACTGTCTCTTCATCGTCGTCCCTGATGTCACATATAAGCCGGCTCTTTACCTCGTTTGAGCAGGCCTCAACAACGGTCTTTCCGACCTCGTCTGCCGCCTGCTTGGTAGACATCCATGTCCCGCGACCGCTTGCTGCCTGCTTGGGTTTTGCTTTCGCGCGCGCCTGAACGACCATGGCTCCTGCTACGGCTCCTCCGGCTGCGCGACACACCGTTGTCGCGTCTACCGTGATCGTACTGCTTCCTCGATCGAGAATCTCTTCGCGCTTCCGTTTTCCTAGTGCTCTTTCGTGCACTCTCGCCGTCACCATGCCCACCGTCGCGCTTGTTAGCGACCGTTGACCCGTTCAGGTTCTGCTTGGGGATATCGGCGTCGGCAGAACTAGACATGGCTCTCATCTTTGTCCACATCTTCGCCAGCAAGTCCGGCGACATGCCCGGGAACTCTGCAGCGATCTCTTCCGGCACTGACGCTCCTGGGATGTTGCCGACACACTCTTTGCTCGCGCCGTTCGCACTCGTCGAACCCGGGACCGCCCGCGACCGCATTGGCGTTGACTCCGTACTGCTCATTGACGAGACCGTCGCTCTAGGTGCCTCCAGGGCGTGCATGCCTGTGTCCGGGCCTGCAGGGGCGTTCTCGAAGCCGATCCGGGTAATACCGTCGCCCACGTGCGCAACGACTGTTGGGTGCACTGCGTGCCCGGCCGGCGGTCGTTGCTGGCCGCACTTGCTGTCGCGTTGATGCTCGCTGTTCACTACCGTCGCTTGCCCATGCCCTCCCGTACGCTCTGTCGCTGTGTGCGCTAGTTCGAACGGCCGCTCCTCGGGTGTGCCGAAGAAAGCTGCGCGCCCGGCTCGAGCGTTATCTACCGCTTTCTGGCGCAACTCTGTCACCATCGGTAACCGAAACCTGACCATCGGTTGTCTTTCCGCTGCCTCCAACGCCCTTCTTTGCTGAAACTGCGGCGACGATCGCGACCATCTGTTCTCGCTGGTGTCCCAAAAATTCGCCAAAGCCAACGGTATCACCGACGGCGCTTGCGCGACCGGAAATATTGGTATATTCGCGTATTGCTTGGGCATCATATTCGGCTTATTCGGCCAATGCGCTATCGTTGATAAAATGCAATATTCCCTCGGCTGTGCGCTATCCGGCATCGGTGCTTCCCCTACCAACGGAGCAATCCCGATATCTCGAAATTGGTCCGCGAAGACCGCCAGGTTATATGCTAATATACACTGATGATCGTTTTCCGTGCTCACCGTGTTGGTGGTTGTCTGGAAGCGAAGGAACACCGGTGATCCGTCGTTCGTAAACACCTCATCCGCTGGTACGAAAACCATGCGCCAGTGATCCTCCAGTTGGAACACATATACGAGATCGCCAAACGCTTGCACACATGCTCCGAAAGCCAGGAACAGCCTGTGTGAGAAGCCGGCGTATACCCGCGTGCCTTGCACGTTCGCGTCTGTCGGGCCGCGCTCCAGATGCGGGCTCTCGATACTTATCCCTTTCGCTCGTCGGGATTTCCTCCCAGACGCGGTCGCTGCTAACGGCGGCAGAACGGGAGCCGCCGGCGCTCCAGGCCAGGCGGCTGCCGACATCACGTCCATGTCCGTCTGGAGCGTCATCGACGCTGCGCTACTGAAAGCGCGTGCTTGTCCTATACTAAAAGGATTGCTCAAACCCGGTAGACCGGTCGTTGATGCCGCCGATGATGACGACGCCATTCCTGCAGATTATATTCCTTACCTCCGATGAGCGTCCTGTCTGTTGTCGCTGTATACGATCTTCCACGACCGAGAAATGTGCTCCACTCCGCTACACGCTCCTCTTTGATCCGTATATATTCCCCTTGCGCGCGTCGCGCTGATTACAAACTACCGAGAGACGTGTAAAAAGAACAGTCTCTAGACCCACACCACCCAAACAGAATTCCCGCGAGACGAAAGAGAAGCCTCGCTACCAAAATAAAGAACAAGCAAATCCAACTAACATGCAAGAGTCCACCTTACAGGACAAGATGGGACATTACAGCCACACAAAAAGCATAAAAACAAATTTTTATCTATTAGGTGATCCGTGCTGTATGCCAGTACTCCAAGATATATTACTTCCAAGTATTCTTTTACTTCCAAGATATATTACTTTTGCTCGAACAACCTCCCCTAACGGCCGCGTCAAAGAATAAGGCATTCTATCGCCGTGAAGATGAGCGTACTTTTCTAGTTTTTCTTGGAATTTCATGAAGCGTGCGGGTGACTGAATCTAGTTTCTGTGAGGGGGTTCTCCATATCGGAGAGGCCTTACGTACTTTCATACGTTCTTCCTCGTGTTCGTATTTCATATGATGAAGGCAAGAGAACCAGAAGATAAATTTGTATGAGTCATGATAGGATAATGACGATCTATATTCATATGTTTCAACAATTTGATGTAATTTGGTGAAGAGATGGTAGGACGAAGACCGATTTTTCTTTTTCTCAACGCATGCAAGTAAGGATAGCGAATGATATGAATTACGTGTATACTTCATGGTAGATGTTCAACAGAAACGGAAAACGATTTATGTTTTTATGCGATCGAGATCCTGTTGTATGCACTTAAATGTTGGGGATGATTACGTGATGGAGCAGTCGGGTTGTTAAGTCTATTTTCAGGAACGTTCTACGTAGCAAACTTCGTGAAAATGTAGTTGTGCAAATCATTATAATTTTTTTCGGAAACGTGAATCATTATTGGCAATTCTCATACACACAAGCCTCGACGTAGTGGCAACACTAGTGAGAGACTCATCATATGAATTTTCAAACTGTGCAGTAGGGTGACTATGCATAAATTCTCAAGATGTCAAGAATCACGGTTTTTACGTCAAACGATAGTGGTTACCAACGCGACAGCTGTCGCGGATTCAAATACCTCTTCAGCACGGAGGTCTAAGTAAAGCCAACACTTGTTACTTTCTGAAGGGTAGGCATCGTTACCTCTGCTTTGGGAGCAATCTCAGACTCTCGTCGCTACTGCAATTCAGGCAGCTACAGCTCAGATTCTCTTCGCTACTGCAGACATCCATGTAGTGATTAGGGTCTCTGAAGTTTTAGTCGCCAACTATTTTGCTTCTGCAGTTGCCGTACCAACGAACCGTAATTCTCGAGCAGTACTAATTGGTACACTATTCTCTTCCCCAAAGCGTTGTAAGATACCTGAGAAGAAGAAGAGCAGTTGGTTTACGGTGTCTAATTCTTAGGAATAAAAACATTCTTCATGCCAAACAAAACATACTTGATGATCCCGTCAAGGTTTCACTACAGAGAAGTACTTCGAATCAATTCTCATCATTATCCGATGGTAGGGTCCTGTAATCGAAAAAAAAGTACCTCCTAGAAATTCTCCCCAAGAAGTGAACGGCTCCTCTCCATACCTCCAATATGGTAGACGCTCAAATTGGTACATTCGTATTCTCCTTTTTCCGAGAGTTCGAGATACCTGCAAAGTGGTTTGTGTTATCGAATTCTTAGGAGGACCCTTCTTGCATTCAACCAACAAAATCGTCTAATATTCCTTATTCAAAGAATTTAAATCATCACATTTAGAAGAATTCAAATTTAACCTATTATACATAGAAATAGAAAGAAGTACCTCTAAACTTTTTCCATGGCCGACAGAGAGCCGTAGCTCTGAGCCTTGGCATCGGATGTAGCTGGAAAAAGCGGAACAGCACGCTTCGGACAAAACCAAGAGCGCAACTGGCGGCGACAGAGGTAGAGACCCAGCACGACGATGACAGTTGAGGCGCCCAAGACGAGACTCGTATTCATATCCATCGCACCACTTTCAGACGTCGTCGTAGCGGCAGTGCCGGTGATAGAGTCGTCATCCTCTTCGGCTTGGAGGAAGGAGCGCCAGCGCGGGTGGTTATCGCTTATTAGAATATGAACACAATAAGGCAGCGATTTGGATGCTGCTCCGCGTCGATCCTAATCGGAATGCTATACAAATGCAAAAGCTTAAACCCCTAAGCCTGTAAGGTCTTGAGGTTCATACAAATCAAATAGTTCGAGGTTTTTGGTGCGGATATGCATGAAATCAGTGGGGAGCTGCATCGGGGATTTTATTGGTGTCATCGGTTTCGTGGGATTCATTTGCCTGGGATCTTGGAGCCTTATCGCGATCCTTGAGCCTTATCCTGATGATCTTCCTGCTCAAAGGTTTCAGGATCTTGATGCTCATCAACACCATCATACTCAGGGATTGGATTGTTAGATTGATCGCTTACATCCCCTCCGGCTCCAAGTCCCAGGACAGTAATGCAATGCAAGATGACATAAAGCGAACCCTTGGTACATTTAAATAATTCTTTTTATTCTTGTCTTCCTCTTTTCCTTCACTTTCTTCTTCATGCTGTCCCCGTGTTGTTTTCTCCTCTGGTTGGCTTGTCTTCTCGCAGCTCCTAAGCTTTTCTGCGGTTGTTCCTTGGTGTTAGAATAGATAGAAGATAGTAACGGTGAGATTAAGATTAGAAGTTAGGCTGTCATATCTAATCGGCTTAAGATGGGAATCCTTCGTGCGTCCACGCAACCACCTTGGCTCAAGACTTAAGGGGGATCTTACTGGGGGTAAGATACAAGGCCAAGCTGCTCAAGGCCTCGCTTGAACTCTACGCCTGTTGTGATCTTGCTAAGGGCATTAGATCGGTTCAAGTTGGTGGGAACGTAGTACGCCTTAGCGATTCCTTTTGATGCCACTTCCTTGATGAAGGCATCACGGATTGAGATATGCTTCAGTCTGGCTGCGTGTTGGTTTGTGGTGGCAAACTTAATTCCGCCCTGATTATCACCAGCCATCCTCATGATTGGATCAAAGGTTAGACCATGGTGGGTGAGGAAAGCTGTGAATTCTGGCGAAAGTAACAGGTTGCGAAATCTAAAACCATCCTTGGCACCTTCGGAAGCACCAAAGATTTCCGCCTCACTTACTGAAGTGGCAACTGAATGCTGCGTCTTGCATTTCCACAGAATTGGGCTTCCGTTGATGCAGACTAGCACACCGCTACTACTACGCCAATCAGTGAGGGTCTGTAAGGATGCCCAATCACTATCAGTCCAAACTGTAAGAACTATCTTGCCTTCGAATTCTCCGCGGTTCTTGTAGACAAGTAGCCTTTTTGTTCTGAGATAGCGGATAAGCCTACGGAGGCCTGCTACTACCTCTTCGCTTGCCTTTGCTGAGCTGAGTACCTTTAAGCCAACTACAATGTCAGGGCGTGTAGCTGTGGCTAAGTACTGTAGTGAACCTGTAAGCTCCATCTTAGGCTTTGCTAGAGCTGGAACCTCTGCTGGGAGAAGCTTTGGCGCGGTTTCTATCGGTGTAGTAACCCGTCGATTACTTTCTTCCCCTCCAAGTCGCGCCATTAGCTTCTTCACGTATTCACTTTGGTCAAATGTCACAGCGTGGGTTTCTTTGTTGATGCTCACGGCTACTCCAAGAAAATCATAGGTGATCTCTGTGGTTGTTTCACGCTTAGGCTCTTCGACAAGTTTTAGCGAGTCCTTCACCTCTCCATAATGGTGGAGAATTTCGTCTCGCTTGCCGAAGTAGGAAAAGTTGTCAACAAAGATTAGTAGGAGAGTGGTCCCCTTTATCCAAATTGTGACATCTTCCGAGCATTGTGCCCAGCCAAGTTGCGCTAGGGTGGCATCTCGGTGGCGCTGCCACGCAACTGGTGACAATTTGAGACCGTTCATAGCATACAGAACTTTACCAATCGGATAACCTAACTGGGTGGCCAGTTTGTCATCAAATTTAAGTAAAGCGTGCCCTGGGTATGGTGACTGTAAGAATGCCGAAGTTGCGTCAGCGGAAAAAATTGTGACTGATCCCTGGCTTGCCACCGTGATGGCGAGTAGCATTCGGATGACACTCATGTCACACACATTCGCAAAGGTACTTAGTTCCGAGGGTGGAGCTAAGAATCCCATACACACAATTCGCGCTTTCTTACGTCCACACCTTTTCGTTGATAGTAGAAGCTTACACGGCATCAGTTGACGCGTGTAGGTTTCTATTTCTCTGTCTGTTGCTTTTCTGAACACGTGCGAGTGGGCCCGCAATTCTTTTGCTATTGCTGCTTTCCACTCGGGAGTATTGTAGTCCTCGGGGAGTTCTTCTCCTGCTGCGAAGGTGCCGACTAGTTCTTCTCCTTCCTCGAGGTGAAAGAGCGCCGCTGTGAAAGCCTGTTGGAAGCTTTCTGCGTCTAAGAACTCTGGATCTTCTTCTAACTCTTTGTAGAGCTTTGAACTAGCGTCGATTAGCTGCCCCTGTCTAAGGACATCGGTGCCCGGTAGGGTGTGCAGTAGTTCCTGAATCTGTTGGATTCCTGTTTTCTTTTCACGCCAGTGGAGGCGTCCACTGCTTTGCGGCATTGCTTGCCGAACTTCCTCGAGCTTAGCTCGCTCCTGCTCTTTGAGCTTTCTATAGAGTGAATCTACATAGTTCTTCGTTAAAGAAATTCTCAGAGGTGGTCCTCTTTTTCCTTTTGCGGCGTTCGGTTCGTTTCCTCGGTGTGTCTCGTGGGCTGGTGCCTGAGCCGGGCCGGGTTCTCCAGGTTCAGGGCTGTTGACCGTGTGAGCCTGTTGACCTGGTGCAGACTGGTCGAGTTCTGCTGGAGGCCCTGGAGCTCCCGTTGAGGTACCCACTGGGGCTCGCGGAGGCATTGCAGCCTGGGGGCTTTGTTTCTTGCTGTTGTTTTCGCTTGTGGCTGAGGGCGTCCCCTCCGGAATAGGCTTTACTTCTTTGAGAGAGACTATCGCGGGATAGTGCTCAGGTGCCTTTCTGGGGAGGATTTTCGTGGGGAATTCTACCCAGATCCTATGCACCATCGGAGTGAGTACTTTGCTCGCTAGGCAGTGGTCTACTCTCATGCTATGGCCGTTCTTCGCTTCTTCTGTTTCGCCCCACACCACGCAAGTGCGTTTGCGGTGATGTGTAATCTCACGAGACTGGTTGTCAGGGGACGAACCAAGAACATCAACTAGCTCTAACGCGGTCACTAGATCAGCGTAGGCGCTGAAGTCTGTGAGGGTTGTGCCAGGATGTCCTGCGAGTTCAGGGTCGAAGTCATTGCTATTGGCGCACATTCCAAGCGCACCGATCAAGATCAGGGGTCCTTGAATGGTCTTTAGAAAAGTGCGTAGCGCTGAATCCCACTCGCGTACCTTCTTTCTGTCGTCGCGTGCTGGCGCAAAGATTCCTACTATGGTAGCAGGATAATGCGGCGACTTAAGAGTCAGCACTCTCCCGCTCTCAAGTCCGGCCTGTTCGAATTTGAAATGGTTCAAATCCTTACGGACGAGCGCGGCTGTGCCTGCGAATCCGTCGCGTTTACCTGCAGAGATGTGTAGCTGATACTCGGGGGCGAGTTCAGACATCTTCTTGCGGATTTTCTCTTCGCCGTTCTTGCTCACTCGGGTGTTGCCAAAGATGACTATCCCGGGTCTGTTTTTCAAGATGTTCCGGCATTTGTCCGCTTGTCCTGTGATATACGTTCGCAGAGTGCCGCTGGTGACATAGACTAGATCTGTGGCGATGTCTGTCACTGGCGCGCTACTATCCTCCTCGGGGAGGTCTTCTGTTTGTTGCTGGGGCAAGGGTCCCGCTTGCTCTTTGCGTACTACACCCGGGGCACGAACAGGGTCGCGCTCCAGCTTTAGTCTCGCTGCAAGTTCTGCCATGCTGACTTTCTGCAGATTATAAAACTCCTTACCATCGCTATGCACTCTAACTAGGACGCGATGGAGTTCCTTGGGGAATATCATTGCGTCTACGGTGATACGCTTTCTGATATGCGACTCGTGGACACGTTTGTAGTGCCCGCTGTGGTCGATAATGAAAGTTCTGGAGTTGTCATTCTGCTGGATATAGATGAGTCTAGCCGGGCCAAGCCATGCCTTCTTCAAACGGTCAAAGAATTCTACTTGGTCTTCTACTCGGAGAGTTTCACTCTCATCATAGTAGGCTCGGGCCTGTTCTGATAGTCGTCGAAGCTCATCTATATAGACTTTGTCAGTCTTCACCTTTTCTAAGGCAGCTCTTGTCTCGCAGCGTTCTTTGTAGTCCTGAAGTACGATCTGGGGATCGTGCTCCAGATGGTTTAATCTGACCTCTTCCATGTCTTCGGGGTGACGTGGTTGGAAGGTAGCAGGCTGGCGAACGAATTGAGCCTGGTAAGGTGATAGGCCACTTAGTGCAGACGTGGGCTGCTCATTGATACCATCTACGGCTAGGTATATGAGTTTTAGCAGAGTGGCTGCTGCTACTCCATACACCAGCTGAAGTCTGGCAACGACTGCTTTGATCGTTCTGTGACGTCTCTCGATCACACCATTGACCCACTGAGCCTCTCGGGGGCTCACGTAGGCATCAATGTCATGTAGCGAACACCAGGATAGGAAATCTGAGTTAAGGAACTCTCTTCCTCCATCAACTAGCACATTGGCGGCTAGGATGCCTGTCCGGCGACATTTCTGCAAAAACTCTACGGCTTCAGCTCCTGTCGGGCTTTTCTTCAGGGCTGAGACTACAGAGAATCTACTATGTAGGTTGATTGCATGTAGGACATGCAACCCACCTAGTTCGAACGTATCTAAACTAAAAAAATGCTGAATAGGCATGCCTTCTAATCCACCATACTTCGCTCTAGGTTGCGCAATGTTCCGTAGTCGAGTGATGTTGTTGGAACACCATTCAACTCAAATGCGTCTTGCTTTGGAAGTCACTCGTGGTGGCACGAGTGCACGAACTGCCATCCACAATTTTTGGAAAGTGGGAAAGTGCAGCTGTGTAGCAATTTTACTTACTTTTCTTCTTAACTGCTTGACTTGCGTCTCCTCTTTCGCTACGAGCTCCTCCTCGTCTTCTTCTGCTTGTGCCTCCCGCACTGGTTGTTCTTGTGCCTCCCGCACTTCTTCTTCTTCGTCTTCTTCTTGCGCCTCCTGTGCGTCTTCAAGCGCCGCTTGCGCTTGTTGCTCCCCTCTTCTTCGTTGCGGTGGTTCTCCTTCTTCACCGTCTTGTTCTCTTCTCCTCTTCTTACCTGTTTGGCCGCTCAGTCAGATAGCGTAGACGCCACCTGTGAGTAGCATGGGGATCTCTCCCACGCACTGTCCTTGCTGGTACAGACGGAGTTTTTCCGTCGCGAAACAAGGGACTACGCCCTTCTCCACCAATCTGCGTACAGATAGGACGTTTACTGGGCAGTCCGGGACACTGTACACTTCACTTAGCTGAAGCGTGATGTCTCCTTTCTTAGCGGTCATCTTCCCGACTTCGGTTGCGCGTACCGGTTTCCCGCGGCAAGTCATGAAGACTTTCTTTGAAACCTTCGAGCAGTCTGTGCTGAGATTGGTGATGTGTTCGGCGGCACCACTATCAATCAGCCACATGCTGGTCTCTTGCATAGCAGCCATAGAGAAGTACTCGGCGTCAACGTAGGGCGCCGACTCTTCCCTCTCTGCTTGTGCGTCGTATGCCATCGCAATGGCCACGAAGAATAGCGGCTGCTGCTGTTGCTGTTGTCCGTGCGGGTTCTGGTTTCCTTGTTGTCCTTGTGGGTGTCCTTGTTGTTGCGGCTGCTGCTGGCTCGGTGCAACGAGGTAGGCCCCGCCGCGGTAGAAGTTTTCCTTCTTCTGCCATCCCTGGGGGATGTTGTTCGGGTTCTGGTTCCGGTTCTGGTCGCGGTCACGGCTGTCGCGCCGTTGGCGGCGGTCTCTGGTGTCCCGGTTGCGACTGTCTCGCCGGTTGCGTTGCTCTCGGTCCCGGTTGTTGCGTCCACCCCTTCCACGACTGTCACGCCGGTGGCGGCTGCGGTCGTCGCGGTTGTTGCGGTGGTGTTTGCTTTTTCCTTTCCCCTTGCGGCCTTTTCCTCGTCCTCCTTGGCCTCCGTCACCCGCGTAGAACCCTGCCGGGGGGGTTCCTTGGTCTTGTGCCTGTGGCGCGGTGGTCGGGCCTTGTTGCGTTGCAAGCTTCTCCGCCTTTGCTGCTGAGGCTTGGGCCTCGTTCAGGTTGGCGGGATTATCTATTATTTGAATCTGTTTAAGATTCTGCCCGCTGTTCTGTATGAAGATGTCGACGACTCTCTTCGGGCAGAGTGTCACGCCGCAACCTTCAGCAACGTCCGAAAAAGACTCCCAATAGGATTGGGCTTGGGGCCCTTGTTTCTGCGTCTGGTTCATAGCCCGGAGCTTACTCCACAAAACTTCCTCCGACTCGTATCGGGATACATATGCCGTAAGGATTGCCTTGAACCTTTTCGATGGCGTAAGATTCTGGGCGGCCACTTCCTCACGGATTCGGGAGAAGCGTGCGGAAGTTGTCGGGCATTTGATAAGTTCGCCGGCCCTGTCGATTACAGTGGTGAACCGGTTGAGGGGTTGGCCGTTGGTTGCTCTTGCTGTGAGAGCCTTGAGCCACGCACCAAAGGGGGCGGGCGCTCCGTTGTACTTCGGTCCGCGTAGACCTGTCGGGCCTTCTTCTTCTTCCTTCTTCTCTTCTTCGATGATTGTCGGGCCGCCGTCGCTTTCCTCGGCTTCATCCTTGTCGGGTTTCTCTTCTTCTTTTTCCTCTTCGGCTTTCCTCTCTTCTTCCTTCTTTTCGGCCTTCTTCTGGGCTTCTTCTTCTGCCTTTCGTTTGTCTTCTTCGGCTTCCTTTTCATCCTTTTCCCGTTGAAGTCTTTCCACTTGCCCGCGCAGTTTCTCAAGCTCTTCGGCCTGTTTCTTGTCGCGTTCCTCTAGTGCTTTGACATACTCACCACGCGCGGCGGCTGCGCTTTTCTTCTTGCGCTTTTTCTCGGGCGTGCCCGATGCACCGGCTCCGGATGGAGGCATTTTCTTTGTTGTATACTAGTGGGGATACGGTTGCAAGGTGATGGATGATGGATGATGGTTTTTCTTGAATCAGGTGCAGAAACACAATCACAACGAAAAAAAAAAAATCAGGCGATGCTTCGAATCTAGTGCAGTTTTACTAGTGTAAAAGGGCTTATAACTCTATTAGAATACGAACACAATAAGGCAGCGACTTGGATGCTGCTCCGCGTCGATCCTAATCGGAATGCTATACAAATGCAAAAGCTTAAACCCCTAAGCCTGTAAGGTCTTGAGGTTCATACAAATCAAATAGTTCTAGGTTTTTGGTGCGGATATGCATGAAATTAGTGGGGAGCTGCATCGGGTATTTTATTGGTGTCATCGGTTTCGTGGGATTCATTTGCCTGGGATCTTGGAGCCTTATCGCGATCCTTGAGCCTTATCCTGATGATCTTCCTGTTCAAAGGTTTCAGGATCTTGATGTTCATCAGCACCATCATACTCAGGGATTGGATTGTTAGATTGATCGCTTACATCGCTACTATGTGTCCCCAAAAATGTTGAAAGAGGAACAAATAAAGGACTCGTTTAGGGTTACCAAGATATTGAACATACTTCAGCTCAATTTCACGTGTGCTAGTTTTGTAGTGACAAGAACAAGAGGACTTTTTTTACAGCTATCCTATGTGATTTCTATGGGAACTTTAGTCTTCTTCAGGATCCTTCTGCTTGACGTGAAATTGCAATTCAGGTGGGTCTCAATTTTGTTACGAATCTCGAAATATGTATCATCATAAACGCGTAGGACGACCTCTTTGACTTTTCCTGACGTCCGCGGCTGTAGCCATTGGGTTGTTCTTCTGGCGTCCAGTAGTGTCTGGTATTGAGCGCTTCCCGAAAGAAGCATTATGTCAAGCTCACGAGCATGTAGTGGGACAAGAGATGAGAATATTAAGAGCAACAAAATTCAGCAAACGCTTCCCCCCCGAAACCTCAACCCCCAACACCCAAACCCTGAACCTCCGACACAAAAACCGCCAAACCCCAAACCCATGAACCCATAAGCCCACGAACTCAGGAACGCACGAACGCGCGAACGCATGAACTCATGAACCAGCTCACGAACTCATGCACCCCTGATCCAAGAAGTTGAATTTCAGGAAAATGTTTAAAATTAAAAGTTTGGAAATCCAGCGAATTTAATCCCAAAGCGACAAAATAATGTGGAAAGCTTCGAAGTTTGAGAGATCCAAATCCGAGATGAAATTGAATCTCAGAGAAGGGAGCTGGCTAGAGTCGAAAACTTTGGGATTTGGGGAATTCGAATCCAGCGAATTCAAGCCCAAAGCGACAAAATAATGCGGAAAGCTTCGAAATTTGAGAAACTCGAAGGCAGAAAATTGAACTTCAGGGAAACTGCCTAAAGCTAAAAACTTGGGGGGTTGGAGAAATTCAAATCAGTCAAATTTAATCCGTTCCAAAGCGACAAAATCATGCGGAAAGCTTCGAAATTTGACAAATTCGAAGCCAAGCAGTTGAATCTCAGGCAAAATGTTTAAAATTAAGAACTTTGGTATTTGAGAAATTCAAATCCAGCGAATTTGATCCCAAAGCGACAAAATAACGCAGAAAGCTTCGAAACTTGAGAAATTCGAAGCCAGGGGATTGAGCCTCAGAGAAACTGCCTAAAGCCGAAAGTTTTGAGATTTGAGAAACGCAAACCCAGCGAATTCAATCCCAGAGCGCAAAAGCCGCACAGTTTTGACTTTTCCAACCAAAATTAAACTTCAAACTTCTCAAAATTTTCAAGATCAAGAACCCAAATCGAAAAACTCCAGCCCCAAACTTCGGGCCCAAGGCCTTAGGCCAAAAACTTCAATGCGAAGACTTCAGGCCAAACGCTTGAAGCCCAACATTTCCAACATAAAGCCTCGAACCCAAGATCTTAAGTCCAAAACTTCAGACACAAAATCTCAGACCCAAGACCCCAGGCCAAACCCTTCAAGCCCAGCACTTCGCCCGAGTCCAATGCCTCAGCTTGCAGGCCCAAAGCTTCAAAACCAAAGCAAAGCGCGCTGAGGCCCAAATCTTCACACTGAAAGCGGCCGCGAGCTTCAAGCTGCAAGCCAAAAGCTTCCACCAATCTCGCCCCAAGTCTCCACCTCAAAGACTTACGCGCGAAGCTTCGCGCTCAAGGCTCCCGATCCAAAGCCCTGCACTAAACTCAAAAGCAGACAAGCCCCGAGACATCTCAAAAACCTCAGAGACAGAAGCGGCCTCCTCTGTTAAATTCCGCGGCGCCTCTGTACTGTTCCGACTCCTCTGGCGCGGACCACTTCGCCAGGAAAGCGCCGCGAGCTGGCGGAAGAGGAGCGGGGGAGGCGCGTCTTGGCGAAGGAAATGGCCGAGGAAGGTGGAGGATTCTAGTGGAGGGAGAGCTATCGGGCGCTGAAGTCTAGTAAACTACAACAAGGCACCCTCGTCGTCGCTGCTAATCAAAATAATCAACACCAAAAATATATTCTTCATGGGTTTGTTAGTAATTTCCCACATACAAACCTTGGTGAACTTCTTGACTACGGCACGGAAGATAAAACCACAGGAAGTTGCGATTATATGGAGAAGAAAAATACCACGGTCAACTCGACCCAAATCTTGTGCGCCATCAGTGCGTTGAGTTCTCGGCCTCCGCACCCCATCATCCGTTCCCCCTTCACCTAGTGTTGGGAAGTCCCCGAAGGAGGCATTATGTCGAGTCTACGAGCATGTTTTGGGACAAGAGATGTGAATACATTACAACGCTTCGTAACCACGCGTTGTAATCAATATTTATTCAACACGAAACATATCTTCTGAGTTTGTTGGTGATCTATCATATAGAAAGGCCGGTGGGCTTCTTGACTACGGCAAGGAAAGAAAAAACGACACGAAGGTCCACAATTACACACACAAGAAAAATACAAATTATCGGAATTGTGTACCAGGCGTCCCTTCATCTAGTTTCGGTGGCCAAGCGCCTTCTATTGGTGGCAGTGTGGCACGAAAATCTGGCATTGGGGAGTCATCGAAGGGCGCACTATGTTACGCACACGAGAAGGTTTTGGAAGACTAGATAGGGATATTTTACAACCTGACATCGTCATTTATGATGGAAACATGCTTGATATCGGTCCTTTTTTTCCTCTCAGTTTTCATTTTGATCTGCCTCGTGAGTATGGAGGTGAGCCTCACTCTTTGCTACGACGAAAAAGAAAATATTCAATATGACAGGAGGGAGATACGAATAGACGGAGAAGATAAACATCAAATGCGTTTCCTATTACTGTCATCTCCAGCTCCTGGCGTCGCAGTAAATGGCCTCGGAAGTCCCCCTTCCACTCGCCGAGTGGACTCACGAGACCCATGCCCCGCCTGTTTTTCTGGTCGAGCAGCACGCTGCATCTTGCAACCTGTCTTTACTACGTATCAGGAATACAAACCTCGGAAGGGGCCAGTACTATTCTCCTTTGTTTCCAATTATTCACAGTCTACTTATCAATAAGCGAATATTGCTTATCAACAGACTTGACGGTCGAAGAAAATACAAGTAAAAGAAGGGGACAATAAAAGGTCGCACTTGTCTCGTGGTCTTCTCTTACAACAAAGCTATTTCTCTCTTTTTCCTAAGAATTTGATTGTCGGAAGAGGATTGGGTGCAAACATACGTGATGCTGATGTTCCACCAGCAATATTAAATGACCTATCCATCAATGTTATTTGTTTCCATGTGATGTTCAAAATTGACAGTTTCTAGCTTCGAAGTTGCTTTAAATGTACTACATCTAGCTTTTACTGAACTCTAAGTCGACAATCACGAAAGAACTTGCACCTCTACACACAACAGTCTTCTCGTTCTCGTTTTCCACGAATTAACTCTCAAACGATAGGATCCCACGACAAAAGCATCCCTCAACATCGAATAACCAGAGTGAATCCTCGAACCGAGAGGTGAAGCGACTGCACTCGTACTCGTTTATTCGCTCTCATCATCATAGTATGCAAGTTTTCTGTCCCTGTTTACTTCGAGTTCACTTCCTATATGCATGTCAGTACATGTTCGATGCAGTGTGCTGTTAGTCTGGGTCATTTCGATTGCAGTTGTTCCCTGGTGCTGTGCTCTAGAAGTACTCTGTGTCACCTTGGTAGTCTTGCAATCCCAGAGTCCGTTTTATCGACGGCCAGGAGCTTTCATTCTCCTGCGTCTCATCAGGGACATTTATGCGTGGAAAGCCAAACTTTCTTTATGCGTTAAATTTATGTTTTTATGCGATCATTGACACCTTGGTTCGAGGGGGAGAAGCGTGCGGGTTCTGTACTGTACATGGCTAAGTCTATGCAGTATGTTGACGAGGATAAATCCATAATTTTATGATGGTGCGACGACGAAGTGGGATTTGTGTTTATGAAGCTTATGTTCCAACTCAATAAAGGTGTAGAGGTAGGTAAAATAGCGTAAACATGCAAATTTCTATTTTCTTTGAAAATTGTTCCTTCTCTTTATAGAATCCATCTTTTCCCTCATCTGTGTCCCTTTTTTGACTTGAAAGCAGCCCACGGATGAGCTAAAAGACACAATCTCCAGAGAGCGAGCCTACGTGAGGCCGTAAGAAAAGAGCTTACGTGAGGCCGTAAGAAAATTGTTCCTTCTTTCTGAATTTCCTACAGTACAAGATAACTTTCCTGTAATGCAGATCTTGATCATTCCTTAAGGATGTCATTCATTCGGTTATATCAATAAATCCGAACAAACCCACTGCGCTGTTCAAACATTAATACTTCTCCAACTCTCTCCAGGAGGGGTAGCGGTAGGTGTAGGAGTTGACGCCACGTATTGTATTTATGAAACTGATGGGTGGCTTCGATTTCAGTATCTTATTGTTTCTAGCATGATATTTTCAATCATTTATCTACTCCTGTACTCTGCACGTCATTTTGATGGTCTTGCGTTCTCGTACTCTGTCACTCATTCCGATCAGCTTCCCGGGTCTTATAATTGCCGGTTTCTGGCCAAGGAACGAGCGGGCGATAAGAACAAGACATGTGTCTTTGTGCACTAGCTCATATAAAAAGAATCTACCTCCAGGTCCAGGCTCATCGTCGTTTCTCTTTCTTCTGGGTTGCATCTTTTCATCTTCTGGGTTGTGTCTGTTACATTTGTGGCCACTATGACTCCACACTACGCCTAATGAAGTAGCAATGCTCGCTTTCATCTCTATCCGTCCTTGTGCATGGAATGTCTCGACCTGCGATCCCCGTTGGTCGCGGCATGTCTTGTGTGTAAGACATTCCGGTCCAGGCAGACCTAGGCTCACAACCGTCGCGCAGCCATCAATCTAGCCCTGAACGCGGCCCCCGCGAATTCACGCGCCAAAAGAGTAGTAATCCACAGAGTCAGAAGCTGCATGCCAAAATCGCACCACATAAAATGCCGTGCGGAAATGGATCGGCTGGTGGTGGCTCCTGCGGTGCCGAAGTAGGGCTCCCTTCCAATGGCAATTTACTGCGGTTTTTGCATGTCCTATTGCACCAACAAGCTATGGATGAAAGCCGCAATCCCGCTTTGCCTTAGAAAAATGCCTGGCGCCATATTTGTTAAAAAAAGCAAGAATAACAAGGGCTAGTTTCTTGTGCTTATCGAGTTACGTTGCCACGAAGAGAAGTCCACATTTTCCTTTCCATTCATTTTTCGATCTAGTTTTGTGTCATAACTTTATCGACCCAATGGATCTATACTGCGACTTGCCAGATGATTTGCCGAAGAAACAGGTGCTACAGCCGGTTTCGGATGCTGCTTTTTCTCACTAGACGAGAACGCTACTTCATCAGGTGTTCTATTCGAGCCTCCATGCAAGAAAGCTGTCCTAGGTCCAGGTGTGTAATGCTGCTGTCGGTCTGTCCCCGTCTAGAGTTCTGTCTTCAGCGACTTTGTGGTCATTCTGACCTTGTTGCAAAGAGACCTTACGAGAGAACGGCGAAGACATATTGATCGTCGTGGTCCGCACAACGGTTTCTACTACATAATCCTAAGTATCAGACTATGATGTTGCCATCTGCAAATTTTTCATTGGATCAAGATGTGGATCCTCAGTTACATATTTTCTATCTTTGCTGAAAAAAATAATCTACGCACTCACCAGGATGCTCTCGCCGATCATTCAGTGTATACCTTTTACTATCAACAACCAAGAGCAGCCACCACGAAAGCCAGCGCTATTCTTGTACTTCTTTTACTTCCAAGATATATTACTTTTGCTCGAACAACCTCCCCTAACGGCCGCGTCAAAGAATAAGGCATTCTATCGCCGTGAAGATGAGCGTACTTTTCTAGTTTTTCTTGGAATTTCATGCAGCTTGACCTTCAGGGTGATGTAATATAATTTCTGTGAGGAGGTTTTCGGCATTCATCGGCACCGGAGAGGCCTTACGTACTAGCAAAAGTTCTCCCTCGCGTTCGTATGCCATATGACATGGTAGGACAAATGAGGATAGCGAATATGAGCTACGTGTATTATACTTCATGTTGGATGGTTATCAAAAACGAAAACGATTTACATTTTCGTGCGATCGAAGTCCTGTTGCATACCTGTTCCTTAAATATTGGGGATGATTACGTGATGGAGCCATCGGGTTGCGAAGTCTATGTTCAGGAAAGTTTTACGTAGCAAGCTTCGTAAAAATGCTGTGCAAATCAGTACAACTTTTTTTGGAAATATGAATCATAATTGGAAATTCTCATACACACAAGCCTCGGCGTAGTGGGAACACTGGTGAGAGCCTCATCATATGAATTTTCAAACTGCGCAGTAGGGTGTCCATGCATAAATTCTCAAGATGTCGTATTGGCTCGTCTAATATTAGTATTACTCATTCAGGAGGGTTTAAGTCATCATATGTAGAAGAATTCAATCCACCTATCATAGAAAGAACTACTTACAAGGCATACCTAAACATCTTCCAAAGCCGACAGAGAGCCGTAGCCTTGAGCCTTGGCGTCAGATGCAGGCGCCAACACCGGAACAGCACGCTTCGGACAAAACCAAGAGCGCAACTGGCGGCGACAGAGATAGAGACCTAGCACAAGGATGACAGTCGAGGTGCCCAAGACGAGAGTCGTATTCATATCCAGCGTATTCTTAGGCGTCGTCGAGGCAGAAGTGCCGGTGATAGAGTCGTCACCCAGAGTGCCTTCGAGGAAGGCACTCGAGCTCCTTCTGTCAATGCCGTTCCGCAAGAATGAAAGATGAGTATTTAAAGGACTTACAATTATTTAGGGTTATGAAAATCTTGAAGACAAGTACTTTAGTTTGATTTTACGTGCGCTAGTTTTGTAAAGACAATCGTAAGACAGTCGCGGTGCCCAAGACCAGACTCCTGTCCATATCCACCGCATTCTTAGGCGTGCTCACATCCGTCGCACCATTTTCAGACGTCGTCGGAGTGGAGGTTCCGGTCGTAGAACCTCCGTCGCCCAGTGCGCCTTCAAGGAAGGAACTCGCGGTCCCCCTCTCCGCCAATGAAGAAGTCTCAATGTATAGTTAACAGAAGAAAACACATGAATGGCTTGACTAATAGAAAACTCCTGATCGGATTCAACTATCACAGCGAAATAGTGGAAATGAATAAGGTTCAGATTCAGATGGGGTCCTGCCTCGGCCCTGCGCATTGAGCACCGGATCAGCACACATATTCAACACATATTTCCGCGAAATTGCTTGTGAGTGACCTCTTTTCTCTACTATAATCTGTGAATCAATGAGTTGCCATTAACCGACTCCATAAGGCTGACACATCCCGGAGAACATTTGTTGGTGTAACCGGCGCGATGTCGGATAGTTCAGGGCGCTTCATCCATGAAGAAAGACAAAAGAAAAAATCCGATGAGCAACAATGTGACACTAAGGAGATTCCTGGTGTAAGCTGGTACCGAATAAGAACTCACTAACGCCAGAATCAAATATCAAGATAGGAAAGTGAGAACTTCGAAAATGGATATTCCATGTTAGGCCAATAAAGTTTCCAACGCATATTTTTGTGACGTATGTGCGCCTTTCACCAAAGTGAATAATCATGGTCTGGTGATTTTATCAGATTCTGTATGAAGCAGGTCTTGGAAATGGACTGGATTGCAAGCCTTGCGCCGTGTTTCCAATTGAATCTAAGTAGCATGATCTGGAACTCAATTAACCAAACTGTTGACCCATTCATTCATTCATTCATTCATTTACCTAGCAAGAGGTCGTTCGCAGGACATAATTGTTGCAGTTGCCTTTTTCTATTTTCTAACCTTTTTTATGCACTTCGCTTTGTGGTTTCTATATAAGTCAATCCTTTTTACCCAGACGGTCATAAAGCTATTTTTGCACGGTAGGCGGCAGCAAATTTCTCGTACTCTTCTGGATTATTTTTGGCCCATTCATCGACGATTAGAAATTGCACTCGAATGTTACTTCCATGTCGAAGGTACAGTCTTAAAAGGAGTTTACGCATAGTCCAGTATCTCTTCTCCAGAGGGGTCCATAACCTAACCTGATGAATTGAATCTATTCGGCGAGCTGCCAAAGTTTCCCAGACGAGTCCCATAACCTAACCTAACTTAAATAGTTAGCACAACTCAACAGCTAGGTCTCAATATTCTTCCAACTCTCGAAGTATAAGAGTCCGTAAGCACTCTGCATCCTTCATGCGAGTGAAATCTGGCAGCTTTGCAATGGCCGGAGTCCCAGAGGCAGCTGTGTGTTGTATCGATGGAGATTTTTGTGATCGGACCAAGCTTGTTGATGCTTGTGTTGTTTTTTTCAGGCTCTCCTTGTATTTTTCGTTTTTCTACAATCAACACTGCCTCCCAGTTAGACATGTGCGTTCGCAGTGTTCTTACCGCTTAGGTTACTGCTTCCGCGTTGCGGATGGAAGACCAAACATCTAAAAAAATGCATCAAACTAATAATCATCACAATATCTACTCACCCCAGACCCAGGACGCGCGCCAAGTTGTAGGAGCCCTTTAATTTTCATGATCAACCCACATAATCACACTTCCAAGACACCACCACCATCGCTTCATCCTTGCCGCAGCATTTTCAACAATTGCGTTACTTCTATTTAGGATATGGCGCTATCATATCTATTTTGTTTTTCATTCAGAGCGGATTAACTTCCTCAGCGCGTGCAGCTTGTTCATAGACACGTGACAGCCACAGCACTAAGACACAAGGACAAGGTCGATTTTCAAGACTGAAGGAACTCAACAACTAGCAGCAGCTACCTAGGGCATTCGCAGGGGTATTTATTCAACAACTAGTGCTGTTTTTAAAAAGTCATTTTTCAGATCACGCTGCATAGTGCGGCCGCGCCTTATCCCACCTACTCGCTATTTCGTTCCTGGGTCACGTGCGCAATGTGTGTCTAGTTCCACTATCATCTTCTTACTTTTTCTTAGTCATCTACCTCATAGACCTGTTGTTGGCCTTCTACGATTACAGAAGGAAGAAGAAATCTCACAAATGTTGTAGTTGTGTACCAGTTTGTTTGGGCGATGCGGAAGCCGCGTGCGACTGCTTGGGCTTGCTGCTGCTGCAACACGAGCTCATCTTGCAACTATCTGTCTGTGTAGACTTTTCCTAGAAGGATGTTTCTTTTTCCTACAAGTTTGATTATCAGAGAAGATGTGGAGGTATATAAATAAGCACCATGTCTAAGAATGAAACTGTAATGGAGTTTGTGCAGTAGTTTGCACACGCAATTATTTTCTGAGAACGGGTCACGTGCATAATATACTTTCAGAATTGCTATCTTTGGGCCGAGAACATATCATCTACCTAGGCATACTGCAAACCCGACTCGAGCGGACAACTCCGACTCTAAGTAACTACACACTGAAAAATACACGATCAAAGAATTTGAATTGGTTTACTTTACTAGTACCTCTGTTATTGTCGTTCCAGTCACAATCTAAATCTTCAGCCGCTTCGTTTCTCGAAAACGAATTCGCTCAACATCGGATGGTCAGAGTAAATCGTCGAAACGATAGTGGAAAATGCTCTCCTTTTGTCGCTCGTCCCATACAGTGCGCCACTGTTTCCGAACTCAGTCATGCTCGTCTCTACTCGCATTGTATTTATGAAACTGGTGTCTTCGATTTCGATTTATTTCTAGCATAATTTCAATATATAATTTACTCTGGTACTCTGCACGCCATTTTGATGGTCTTGATTTCTCGCACTCTGTCACTCACTCCGATCAGCTTCCTGGGTCTCATAATTGCCGGCTTCTGGCCAACGAACGAGCGGGCGACAAGAACAAGACATTTGTGCACTAGCTCATATAAAAAGAATCTACCTCCAAGTCCAGGTTCATCATCGTTGCTCTTTCTTCTGGGTTGCATCTTTTCATCTTCTGGGCTGTGTCTGTTCATCTTGGAATCCACGCCGCTCCATGAGCATCCGCACAGCCCCATAAGATGCGCAGCACTTTTTGGTACGACATAGCCCAAGAATAGGGAATATGAGACCATTCCGTCATCATCATACGTCTTTGGTGCTCATTCTCTACCACTGGCAAGACAAGATAGTAACGAACAGTGTGTCACAAAGACGACCATCATCAAAATATGCATCGTAATTAAACAATATGTGAAGCGGTTAGAAGTGGGACCCCCTGTAGTCAGTCTGACTCCACCCTACGCCTAATGAAGTAGAAGGAAAGCTCGCTTTCGTCTCTATCCGTCTTTGTGCATGGAATGTCTCGACCCTGTGGTCCCAATTTGTCGCGACTATGTCTTGTGTGTGAGACCTCCAGGTTCCGGCAGACCTAGACTCATAACCGTCGCGCAGCCATCAACCTAGCCCTGAACGCGGCTCCCGCGAATTCACGCGTCAGAAAAGTAGTAATCCACGGAAGAAGCATGCTTAAAAAAAGCCACACACAATGATGCCGTGCGGAAATCGATCGGCTGGTGGTGGCTCCTGCGGTGCCAAAGTACGGCTCCCTTGTTCCAATGGGTATTTACTGCGGTTTTTGCATGTCCTATTGCATCGCCAAGCTCTGGATGAAAGCCGCAGTACCGCTTTGCCTTAGAAAAACGCATGGCACCATATTTCTTTAAAAAGTGCAAGGTTAGGCGTGGGTCTACCAGGTTCACTAGCAGACATGGTTGGTTACTGAGAATAATAAGGGCTAGCTTCTTGTAGTTATCTAGTTACGTTGCCATGAAGAGAAGTCGATATGGACATTTTCCAGGTCATTCCTATGTCTGTCTATTGGTGTAGATGGTGCCATAACTTTATCGACTGCACGACTTGTCCCAATGGATCTATACTGCGACTTGCCAGATGATTTGCCGAAGAAACGCCACCAGGTGCTACAGCCGGTTTCGAATTCTGCTTTTTCTCAGTAGACGAGAACGTCACTTCATCAGCTGTCCTATTCGAGCCTCCATGCAAGAAAGCTGTCCTAGGTCCAGGTGCGTAATGCCGCTGTCGGTCTGTCCCCGTCTTGGCGACTACGGGGCCTAGAGTTCTGTCTTCAGCGACTTTGTGGTCATTCTGACCTTGTTGCAAAGACACCTTACGAGAGGACGGCGAAGACATATTGATCGTTCTCTCTAATGATCTAGATCATCTATTTCTCTCTCAGGAATGGCCCTATGATGTTGCTACCTATCGCTTATATGGGATTACGTACTTACAGCATGGTGAATAATGATGACTATTATCTTGGTATCTATCAGACGTCATGACTAAAATTGAGCTCAAGTACTCACAACGAACATGGTGAAGGCACTTCCCAAAACTAAGTCATCTACTACACGTTCTGCTTCCACAAATCCAGCTATGGTGACCACAAAAGCCACACGCTCATATTGGTCACAGCATTTTCCCATCTTGTAATAATCATTTCTATAAAGTCACATCTTCTTACGCGAACAACCTTCCCTAACGTCCGCGTCACCGGAGAGCGCCTTCCATCGGAGTACATACCGGTGAGCCGAATATTTTTCATTTTCTTTCTTGGAGTCTCGTCATGGTTAAGTTTTTGGGAGTTGTGTACAAGAATTTCTATCCTCGAGGGCGGAGATGTTGGTAGGTGGGTTTTTACATGAGGGTTGTGTACGAGAATCATTTCTCTTTAGGGGCGGGCGCGAGTAGGTCTAGGTGATTAATCTCAATATAAATTCTGAAATATTAAGCTAGGCTTGGACTTACGTTTCTCCGGTACCTACGTTTCTGTGCAAGCATTATAGCGATGACGTGTGGATCTGAAGGGCTGTACAATGACACCTATTTCAAGTAGGAGTGTGAAATAAAACTTACATCACAGAAGTATATTCTTTGACGAACTATACAGAATATTCATATGTTGTTTTCCGTCTTGGTATATGTGAGGACATAGTATCACTGGTTTCCATAGTTTGGTACAAGAAGAGATAGGACGAATCCAAATAACAATTTGTCATCAATACTACACTGACGGATAGACATGAGCTGAAATAATCATAGCAATGACAACTACGTGTGGTGTATGTTAGATCTTTGAGGAGAAAACCAGTTACCTCAACATAAGCACTGCTCAATATACAGCGTTTTGAGCTAGAGGAATCCTGATTCCTATGTGGTATGATGAAAATTTAAGTCACATTTTCTATTCAGAAACGAAAATTTAGTCGCGTAATTTGTGTGCCAAATACGTTTTTTGGAATATGTGTAACACCATTGATCCTTCAGATCAGTAGAAAATAACTTCGTATGTTAACACTAATGGGACACTTTTGTCGCATATATATGCAGACCCTTCAGTTCTGACGTTGCTGTGCATAAACCTCGTAGTGAGCCGTATAAACCACCATCGTCTGAGTGAACGGCTCCTCTGCATGCAATCTATCAGGTAGACGCTCAAATTGGTACACTTCACACCCCCAATCAGGTAGACACGAAAATTGATACCTTCTCACTCTCCTCTTTCCCGGAGTGTGATATACCTGAAAAGGGGTTTGCGTTATCGAATTTTCAGAAGGAGTTCCTTGAATCCAACAAAATCGCACTTGATTATCGAATGTAACTCATTTCGAAGAATTCATAAGCCATCATACGTCGTAGAAGAGTTGAAGTCTGACCTATCATAGAAACAACAATATTTTAGGTACCTCTAAACATTTTCCATTGCCGACAGAGAGCCGTAGCTCTGAGCCTTGGCATCGGATGTAGCTGGAAAAAACGGAAGAGCACGCTTCGGACAAAACCAAGAGCGCAACTGGCGGCGACAGAGATAGAGACCAAGCACGACGATGACAGTTGAGGCGCCCAAGACGAGACTCCTGTTCATATCCAGCGCACCATTTTCAGACGTCGTCGTAGCGGCAGTGCCGGTGATAGAGTCGTCATCCAGAGCGCCTTCGAGGAAGGACTGCAGGCGGTCGGCGGGATGTACTCTGCGTATTCCAAATCCTCCGTCAGGCCTTCGGGTGAATTGTGTTCCATCCGCGTTTGTTGGTAGTGGTACCAATGAAGAGATAACCCATAATTAACAAAAGAAAACATGCGTTCTAGACTAGCTTGATACCGCACGAGAGCTAGTAGTGTACCCAATCGCTGATTCAAATATAATGAAAGTAGAAATAAAGCGAAAACTTTGAAAAATAAATGATCCATGTCAATAGGTAACGAAAATTTTCAACGCACATTCTTGTGAGGCATATTTGTACCCTATCAAAGCCAGCAGTATCGCTGAGGTGATTTCTTCGAATTCCTAGAAAAAAAATGCAATCTACTTTTTTTCTAAGCTACAACCTGGGTGTACGAATCAATTATAATAAGCCATTGGCATAAGGGGAGACTTGGTGTCTGCGGCAGGCGCGGCTCTTGTCTTTGCGGCGGCTGCGGCTGCGGCTGCGGCTGCGGCTGCGGCGGCGGCGGCGGCGGCTGCAGCTGCTCCTGCTCCTGCTCCTGCTCCTGCTCCTGCTCCTGCTCCTGCTCCTGCTCCTGCTGCTCCTGCTGGAACTGGCGAAACTGCGACTGCAGAAAGCCGACTGCGCTGTGGTTACGCTGCTGGAACTGGCGAAACAGCCACTGCAGAAAGTGGACTTCGTCGTGGTTTAACAGAAGCGACGGACCTAGAGAAAAAACCGGATCAAGCTGTCGCAAAGGAAATCTTCGGTGTCTCACTTACGACGGACTGAAGCATCAAATTACGAAAATGGAAACGGTAAAAATGGAAAACCTGTAGCATTTTCGTCTACCCCCTCAGTGAAATTCTCATCGCAACTCAGCTAGGTCTCAATATTCTTTCAAATCTTGAATTATTATCCTGATGGCTCCAGATGTGTCTTGGGAATCCCAGAGGAGGCTGTGTGTTGTATCGATGAAGATCTTTCGAACCAAGTTATGGGAGTATACAACAAACATGGTCAACACCTACATGAGTATTATCATCTTCTTACTTTTTCTTGTCATCTACCTTATATAAGCCTTTTGATCCCCTTCTACGATTAGAGAAGAAAGAAGAAATCACACAAATATTGTAGTTGTGTACGAGCTTGTTTGGAGATTTCTCCACAATTACAGAGAGAAGAAAAATACAAATTATTGGAGTTGTGTAGTATTACGTGGCATCAAGGGCGGTGGACGGATTCCCGTTACTCCAGCGTGGCTGAAAAGAGACTGGCCGGGCATCGGGCGCGGTGGACCGCCTCCCCTTCCCATCACAAGTTCGGGCGGCGCTTTGCCTATGGTGACACGTGAATCTGGTATTGGGGTGTCATCGAAGGGCGCACTATGTTACGCACACGAGGAGGTTTTGGAAGACTAGACGGGGATATTTTACAGACTGACATCGTCATTTATGATGGAAATGCTTGATATCGATCTTTTTTTCCAGTTAGTTTTCATTTTGATCTACCTCGTGAGTATGTAGGTGAGGCTCACTCTTTGCTACGACGAAAAAGAAAATATTAAGAGCAATAAAACTTTGCAAACACATCCCTTCGGAAACCTCAACCTCCAACACCCAAACCCAAAACCTCCAACACCCGAACCCAAAACCTCCGACACAAAAACAAACAAACCCCAAACCCATGAACCCATGAACCCATGAACCCATGAACCCATGAACCCATGAACCCATGAACCCATGAACCCATGAACCCATGAACCCATGAA